TTAAAATATATATATATATGATACTGCCTCTTTTTTTAAAGGCATCATTTATTAACCAAACCCAAATTCAGCTGTAGAAACCGACAAATTTTTTTTGAGCTTTTATTGCTCAAAGAAATCTAGTAGTCCCAACCTTCATGCCTGCACAGCTTCCTTTCACATAGTGGCATCATGCTGGCACACAGAGTGTCCCAGGATTGCTTCATCTGGTTGGGGGAAGGACAGCTGAAGATTCTAGATCTGGAATATGAACCTGAAGCAGCTTTTTGCAGCTACATAGACAATTACACCACCCTAAGGCACACTGATCAGAAAGGTCCTTTCTTCCTACCACATCATAATGATACATGTTTTCTCTGCAGACAAATACACGTTTCTGTACTTTTCCATTGATGTTACTCTGACAAAAATAAGGAAATAATTAAGTATTGATCCAAATAATTACACCCTGCTTGAAGAGCAAAGTGGTGAAGATTTTTAGAAGTAATATAACGAATGAGATGACAAATGCTTTACAAAGAAGAGCTTGATAACACTGAACATGTTCTCAAGGAATCATGCTACTAACTGCGTAAGATTATTTATAAAGAATTTACAAATTTATTCATTCTGTGGCACAACTTAAAGAAAGGCACAAGAGTGGAAGACAGAAATCAACAGCAAGAATATTTTCACTTAAGTAACACTGCTACAAAAACCTCTTATAGAAGTTACATTCCTACGAAAATCACAATGAAAGGAGTAATAAATAAGCATTTGAAAAAAAACCATATAATAAATTAACAATTCAAGTCTCAAAAAGGAGAATATAATTCATCTCCAAGCCAAAATTATAAAAGAGAAAATAAAAACTGCTTTGTCAATTTTGAGTATTTTCAATTGTCTACTAGTACAAAGAGTCAGAGTTTCAAAAAATCACACTGACGCTCTGTGGATCCAGAGCAGCATCGAACACCAAGCCGCTGCATTTCCCCATGCCAGCTCAGTAGGCGGGAGCTCTGGGGAAGAGAGGCTCTGGGGTGAGTGTAGGAGGAGGGTGTGGACCCCAGAAGGAATGACAGTAGGTAAAAGGTGAAGAAATACAGACCGAAATGATTATGCACAGAAGGGACAATATGGAGGTGGACAGATTAATAAAAAAAATAAATAGTTGAGGAGCGGATAGAGGGCTCCAGTGCAAATCATCTTAAAAACCTGCTTATTGAAAGTCACAAAGCTGACAACAGAGCACAAACCATCATATACCTGTTTGCTATTTCTGTTCCTCAAGAATATCATCTCTTCAAGCTTTTCTAACCTGTTGGCTTCTGAGCAACATGCAACTCCATAGGGCAATTTATCTGACCTATCTTAAAATGGTCTGAATCACCTTCTGTAGGTGCCTGTCTCTGCATCGGCTCTGGAGAGAGGCTAGACACCTAGGCTAGACTGTCTGTCTTAGACAACTAAAGCTAGAACCCAGCCCTCCGTCTTTTTCATCTTCTCATGAGGAAGTGCAATCTTACGTTCATTTTAGTCATCCTGTGCACCCAGCTTGCCTCTGAATTCCCCTGACTTCAGCTTTATTGTATTTTCAGATAGCTGAAAATACAGACCAGGACGCAGTATTCCAAGACAAGCCACTGATTTATAACAGCACCACACCAGTTTTGGTACTTCCCATTATGTTCTTTGCACACTCCATACTGCAGTGATCGGTTTGTTTTTTCAAACTGCTGCATACTGTGGTTAGATTTTCACTGAGCTACCTATGAAAAATATAAACACTCAACTTAAAGGTCTATGCACAGACCACAAATTCAACAACTTCTGCAAAGTATTTTTTAAAATGGGTATTAGTTTATTTATTTTACCCACATCAGAGTCTATCTGCCATCACAACCGCCTCTCCTTTTACTACAACTCTTGAAAATTCCCCTAGTCTTCTATAATCTTGACCAGCTTAGACAGTTTTGTGACACCCGCAAATATTGCCTCTTGGCTGCTTCCTCCTCATAGACAAGGAAATCATGGTCACATTTTCACCATGTCTTACACATAATAAGCAGTTTGATGCAGTAATACGAAAAATTAAATTTTAATTTATTCAAAAGCAACCATAATAAACATAATGTTCAGTAAGGTGAAACAATCAAATATTTCATTATGTAAAAGAGGTCCCTCATGTTTAGGAAAACTAATGCTTGGAAACTTACCTTATAGTCAGGTAACAGTTAACTCTGTTACCAACAGCAAAATAATCAGCTGCAGTTAGAATGTCTATGCCATGTGGAAAAGTGCCCTACAAACATTATAGGGAAGAGGGGAAAAAAATTATTTAAAAATGTAGAATACTTTCCAAATAGGCAACATTATTGAAAAAAAAATCTCCTACTACTGTCCAAGCACTGCAAAAGTACAATTTAATTTCTAATTTATAGTAAATTCACTTGTACTGAAGATATAAAGGATACTGGATATATAAACAGCCAAATATCTAGCTTCACTTATGAGTCAATGATAAACAAAGTAAATACCAGCAGGTAATAAACCATGCAATAGCTATCTTAACACCTTTAAGTCATATCCAAATATATATTTGGTGAATGCATGACTATGTACGTACACAAAAAATGATTTCTCTAAAAGAAGGTTGAGATAAATGCAAACATGTTTTCAGGTTATGTGAAAGAACAAGTACCTGCTGCGAGTTTTATGAAGTATAAAATTAGAGATTTAGGCACCAAGAAATGCATCACACTACACGGGAGTTCAATTATTCCTATTTCTTTCTATTTACATGTATATTTTATGATTTATTTATTAATGAACTAAAATATTGGGGCTAGTTTGTTTTTAGAAAGAACACTGGTTCCCAGCAAAGCCTGAAACATTGAATCCTACAGAAGTATTACACTTCTGACATCACTGCTCAAAGTATTCTGGTTTTACAAGATCAATTGTCTTTTTAAATATGCAATTGCCACCTAAAAATTTGCCTTTTTATACAAGCAATACAATTCAGATATTTAGAATTTTGACTGGCTATGACTGATTTAATATACCATTACGCAGCAAGGCTGTGTTTTGGAATGGAGGAGCCAGCATAGCCTCCACAAGCCATAATTAAGTACGAATGGAAAAGAGCCAACTGAAAGACACTATGCTCACTTACAAAAGGGACAATCATATGATATTTAAGCAATAAGGCTATGTGGAAGTACAGGTTCTGGATATATACAGTTTGTTTGTTTACAGCTCACTCATCCCTTCTACATTAGGATATAGCCATGCAAAAATAGTAGAAAATATCTCTAGATCTAAGCCTGAATAATTAAAGAAGTATATACTGCAAGCAGTGGGAAGCTGTCAGCTGCTGCAGAGGTCTTATTCTGGGAAGCATAATGCCAACAGTCCAAAAAAACAAGGCCTGGGATCTGACTGAACCAGGAAGGAGAAACAGAATATTTATGGCTTATCCAAGAGACTACCTGCAAGCCCTAATAACTTGAAGGTGAAATGAATGCATTCTCCAAAAGTCTAATGAAACACTGATTAGGGAGAAAAATGTACACATGATAAATACCTCACTATGATTTATAGCCAAACAACGAGACATACAATGAAATATGTAAGAATGCATACTGTACATAAGGAAAATCACAGCTAAACAATTTCAATTCTAGCTGCTAGTTGGACCTTGCTATTTATTACTTGCCCGTACGTGTGCCAATTTGATGCCATCTCACCGAAGGTCATGGTGCCACAGTGCATGTCAGTGAGACAGCAAAATTCCTGACATCAAGTTCATGAGTACAGAGGTCATGGCCGACAGGAGAGATGGACTTCAGAGGAAAAGCTAAGAGTTTCTATTCTGTCAGAACACTTAAAACTTACTTCTCCAATATAAAAGTTTGCCTTATTAGAAGTATGTGCATTTCACATGACTTATGCTTAAAAAAAATTCTTCAAATCTTTCAAAGTTTTCATTTACACGAAGTGCAAGTGACAGTGGCTTCTTTTTCTGAGGCCATAAAAGTGAGCTCTCAGATTCAGGACATGTTCAATCGCAAAGGTGAAGCAGGTAGCAACCAGGAATCGAGGGCCACTTTTTCCTCCATCTATTAATACCAGCTTTGTTACATGAGATGGAGAAGAGGTTTTAGCTCCTTCCTATTTAGAGAAAGAGT